TGGCAGTTAATTTATGTTTCTTCCATTTGCGAATAATCGCACCAACTGTTGTCACCTTCTCACCCAGCTGCTTGGCGATGGTCTTGTAGCCCATTCCAGCCTTGTGTAGGTCCACAATCTGGTCCCTGGCATCCTTGAAAAGCTCTTTGGTCTTGGCCATGGTGAAGAGTTTGGAATCTGGATTGATTGATTGCTTCTGTGGACAGGTCTCTTTTATACAGGTGACGAGCTGAGAGGGCTCCCAATGTCAGCTTGTTACCTGTATAAAATACACCTGGGAGCCAGAGATCTTGCTGACTGATAGGGGATCAAATACTTATTTCATTAATGAAAACGCAAATTAACGTATAACTTTTTTTGTAATGCATTTTTTTTTTTTTTTTTTTTGTTATGTTGTGTCTCTCACTGTTCACATAAACCTACCATTGAAATTGTAGACAGATCATTTCTTTGTTAGTGGGCAAACTTACAAAATCAGCTGGGGTTCAAATAATTTTTTCTCTGACTGTACTTCTACCTTCAGGCTTGTGTCCCCTCCCAAGTGGACTGCATAATCCAAAAAGGCCAGACAGTCATCTCCGGCATCCTCACAAGTGAACTTGATGTTGATATTCACAGAGTTGATATGTTTGGTGAAAGCCTCTACCTCACAGGTCCTGATTTTAACCCATGTGTCATCCACGTAACGGTACCAGTGAAGGGAGACAGGGCTTTGTCCTCAAATTCTTCCATGTACAGGTTCCAACTATAGGAGACACAGGGGAACCCATAGCACAACTGTGTTGCTGTCTATAGAAGTGCTCCCTAAACTGGAAGTAGGTAGAGCACAACCATTGCACAACTACAAATGGGGCAAAAATTTCAGACAGAGAACTCACGGACACACGTTTTTTCAGCTTACTATGACCTGGACGACTGAGAATTTGCATGGCCTTTGGTTATAAATGGTCAGATTCACCATGTCAGGCATTAAACATGTTTCTCTCCGCTCTTGACATTAGCTCTTTGTCTGCCTCACTTGCTCACAGTTTGCTCATCATCAGGCAAGAGTCAAAATTGTCATTCAGTCACAGACTTGTAAAAAATTCTCTCCAGCAAATTATTTTTGCAACTTTTTTATTATGTTCCAGTTCTGTGATTGTATTGTTACAGGTGGATGAAGCCCCACCCACAGCTGTGATGTCATTTGTGTGCGTGTTCAGGCTCAGAGGAAGAGGAGGACCACAGGAAGTCCTCTGGTTTCAAGATGCAGCACCAAGACCAGCAGAAGGGCCAATGTTAGGAGGATGGCTAGCAGGATGGCTAACGGCAGTGGGTCATCAGATGGTGACCCTGCTCCCTCCACAGAGACCATCAGCGTGATGGACAACACTGACAGTACAGAGCTATACTCTTCTCTTATTGAGCAGTGTTGTTAGGATGAGCCAGTAATGAATAATAAAATGCATCAGAAAAATGATTTCAGATGCATTCAAAATACAACTGACCTGTGATCAGTAATCAACTGATACGAATTCACATAATTAATAACTAATACTATATGTGTTCAGGTGTGGAGGAGGTGGTGGATCTGACCTGTGAAGGATCAGAGGCTCCTGTGGTCGACCTTACCAGCAACGACTCGATACTGGTCAGAAATACTCTGACACTACTACTGCACTGTGGTACCACATTCTTGATACTGCTACATTGTTAGTACTCCTGCACTGGGGTACTACACTCTCATAATACTACTACTGCACTGTGGTACCACACTCTCATACTGTCAGTCAGTTAGCTAGGTAACCTATGTGTGTGTGGTTGTGCATTCAGTTTCACAGTTGTTGATGTAAAATCTGCTAAACCTGTGTCTGCTTGTTCCACTCTCTTGTTCCTGTTCCTGCATCTGTCCAGCTGGTGGATGAAGGTAAAGCTCATGCAACATAAACATCAGAACATGTTGCAATGAAGTTAAATTAAAGGACCAGTGCAACATCTGTCTTGGTGTCCTCCATCAGGTCCTCAAAGCACAAGAGTTCCCCAAGGTGAGAGTTATGTCGTCAGCAGCGATGAAGATGAAGACTTGGCCCCTGTCTTCAACTTTGACATGGTGTCATCTGTACACACATCCAGGTATTAGACTGATCCGTAACAACACATATAACAGGACCACTGAGAGAGACTGGGGAATATCGATTATTCTTATGCAGTCATTTTGCACCTGAGGGTTGACCAGAAATAGTGGTTGTTGTTGCTACTGTGTCCTTTTTAAAAAGACAAAAAATGACAAAATGTCACAACACAAAGAGGACACATAACCTATGTCAAACTAAACAACAGCCAAAAGCAAAACCAACAAAGGCACACATCCCAGGCGTTACCACTCACATTTGATACAGTATGTGTTACGGTGTCGCGTCGATCAGCTTCCTGGCTTTCTGTTTGTTTACCTGTTCTCTCCCCGCTACTCTGTCACCGCAATTAGTCGCCATGTCAGTCACCTGCTGCTCGTTGTCTCCCAGTCCCGTCAGGTGTATATATACACCTTGTCTTCCGCCGCATCTTTGCTGGTTCATAGCATACCGTTACCTTACCTTTATGCTACGCTACGATACGCTTACCTTACGTTTACGCTACCCGGTTAGCATTACATGTGTTCGTGTCCTGAGCTTACCGTCTGTTCGACTTGGTGTTCCCGTCCTGTTCCTGTTTATTTCCGCATGTCAGCAGCTCTGATAACTCTGCATCTGGGGCCTATTTCAAGAAGGCGGTTTAACAAACCCAGAGTTCAAACCTGAACTCTGAGTTGACTTACCCAGAGTTGGAAAACGCGGAGTTTTCGGTTTCAGAACAGCTGAAAAGAGTTGGTTTAATCAACTCTGAGTTGTCTGACTCAGAGTTAGGCACGTGCCACGCGACTACAAAAAGCCCTGAACAATGGAGTGAAGAAATTACGAGTCACCATGGCAACAGGACCAAGCCAAAATAGGTCTGCGTTTTTCCCCGACAGAAATGGATGTGCTACTACAAGCATATAGTGACTACGAGCCCATATTTCGTAAAA